GGGGTGTGTGGTGTGTGTGTGTGTGTGGGGGGGGGGGGGGGCTCTCTGCTTGAGGAAGTTTGGCTTAAAGACATGTCCCAGGGGTGTTTCTGGTCCCCACCTGTCGTTTTGCTCCTCTGCATGGCTGCCTAAAAACGCTGCAGGATTTCTCAGACATGCATGAATGAGTCAAAGCAAGGCTTTGGGCTTGTTTTGTATGAGAGTATAACATTATAACATGATATAAAACTCAAAAAAAGTTGATTTTACATGATATTGCCCCTTTAAGATCAGGCAAAAAGTTGTAATAAGTATCTTTAAGTCCTGCTGAGGGGATTTGTGAACACGGAGAGGCTGAGTTAGCATCAGCTCTTTGAGAAAGGCAGTTGTGTATGGTTTGGTTACCTAATTTCCCTCTGGGATCAATAAAGTATTTTTGAATTTGAATTGCATTGACCTTCTGCAGAATTACTCTCATTCGAGTGGTTTCTGATGCTCCATTTATTACGTGTAAATAAATTTCTGGCATTTCATACGTGGCAAATTTATAAATTGTATTTATGTATGGTGGACCTTGAGATTATAAACATATTTTATTAGTTATTATTACTTGTTGACTTTTGCCATTGAACAAAGAAAAATCGTAACAGTTTTTAACAAAACTGCGCAAAGATTACAATTATAGTTGCCTCTGGCAGCATCTGCCTTGAAGTCTATTTTAATCATGTGTGTGTTATTTCTGGAGTGCAGCGCCTTGATTATTATTTGAGCAGTACAGTGTGCAGGTGTGGGTGGGCGCTGACATCCATTGGCTGCTTAATGACAGTGTTGTTTGTGTGGTTGGTTCTCTCCTCAGCAGAAGCTTGGAGAGCTGGTGTAGCAGGAAATTGCTGTGGAGGAAGATTAGGCGTCATGCTGGGCTGGACTGCCTGCTTCTGTCCTCTTTCTCTCTCTTACCCTTTCACCCTGCCTCTCTCCAATGGCTTCACCCCTTAATTGCCCTCTTTGAGCAGGGAATGGAATAGTATAATTAGGATCTTATCTGGTTAGCATCGCTGAGAGGGGGTACCGAGCTTTCTCTCCCAGTGTGATCCCTCTCTCCTGTTCCCTTGTTACTTGAATTCAGACTCTATCATTTCTGCCTTCTTTCATCTTATTGCATCTTTCTCTTGCCCTCCCACGAGAAGCCGTGTCTGCCATTTTAGTCAGTGCTTTCTTTTTAGCTCTTGACAGATTGGGGGCTTAAATTTCTCTGTGCTTATGTCTTTTTTTATTTTTGTGTTAAGAGAAGCGGCACATTATTCAAAAGCAAATAATGCCCCGTGTGTCAATAGAGCCAAGGAGGTGAGGCTAAAAATAAGGCTTTTCATTTCAAACGTGTACTTGCAAAGAAGATGTGTTTTTCTGCTTTGTTGTTGTGAGCCTATGAATAAACCATTATTTTAATTTTATTTTTGCAATACGCCTTCCAGCTAAAGACAGTATCAGGCCATACACAAGATGAGGCTAGAAGCCACTGCTTTTATGTTTTTAGTAGAAAAATACAACACTGGGAGAGGTTTTAGTGCCTTTTTAAAGAGCCTCACCCAGAAATGCTTTCCTGAATGACTGCCCTGACATCACAAGGACCGAGCAAGCAGTGCTGGTAAAACCTCGGAGAGATGTAGGGCAGACCCTTGTACATGCCCAAGAATTTTGTAAGCTCCCAAAGAGACGATGATTGCACTCACAGTGACAGGGTAACAATCGGGATGTGTTCTGGCAGACTCTGCAGGGCCCGACCAGCCAAGTGGACCCAGCTCTCTTCTGCATTTGGGCGATTACATTAGTACTCATTGCCTCTCACTGAGTTACATAAGAGACTTCTTTTTCTTATTAAATTTAAGTCATGGTAAATTGCCTCGGTTTTTGTCAGCATTGACTTTTTAGGCCAATTTAATGGTCGCCTAGTTTAGCTGACAGTCATGAGACTGACCTGGCATTTATTGCCCTGGAAGTGGTCAAATGTGGGATTTTTGAAAAGCCGAGCAGAACAAACTGAGCTGAGACATGTGCATGCAAGAGGCTGCTTGACCTGCCGTCCTTATCAATAACTTCTGTAGGATTGTGCTGTGGCACTGCAGCAGTCACTGGATCGATCCTGGTGTGTAAATGTAGCAGCAACGTCTTCAATGTCTTTGGTTGTTTCTCATTTGAAGGATTTCATTTGTGGTAAGTGAGAGGTTTCCTTGCTCAGTTGTGGTTTACCCTTTTTTTTTGTTTGACTTAGTAACCATGACTCTGAGTGGCTCAAGGTTAAACATTACAGTGGATGAAATTAGTGTTTAACTAACTAACGCTCTTTGTTGTGCTGCAAAGCCTCTTGCTTTGCCCTAGGCCCAGTGGAAGTGCTGGTAGACAAGATCTATTCTGAGATCTCAGCTGCAGCAACAACAATAAGACTTCAGGCAGAGGACTGCCCGGCTAAACTAAAGTTATTGATTTTCAGAATTCATTTTCATTATAAAACCTCAGGGACTAAAGTCTGAAAATTACTTTGTTTAGTTTAGAGAAAGTAACAAGTCCGGAGGAAACCTTGTGGGATGGGTTGATTAGATTCAAACAGATTGCAGGCTAATGATACATCCTGCAGCCTGAACTGTTCTTTCTCATGTCTGACTGTTCTTAATTCTCTCTGCCTTGCTTGTGTTGTGGGGACACCCTGGGGTTCACTCCCTCTTACCTATCTACCACTGTCCTAGCCAGAAGGAACGATTCTTTGTTTATTTATTTATTTTGTCTGGTAGCATCAGTTACTTCTCAAATGAAAAATGTCTGCCTTCTAATAAATGCATGTTTACTCTTAATTTTTCATTTTTTTCTTTTGTTTTGGGGGATATTTGTTGGAAAGGATTAGGACAAGATGATTAACTGCTAGGCTACTTTTTCTAGGACATTCAAATTGTCTTTAAGCTAACATCACTCTTTTGTTTTCTCTTGCAGTCACAGAGAAAGAGGTGCAGCAGTGGTGAGTGTGTATATTTACTTTTAATGAGAATGTTTCCTGTCCTGATGTGAAGTTAGCAATAAATCAGAGCTGCTGTCATAACTTGAATCAGAGGTTTGCAACATGATCCACTTACAAAAACCACCTTAGAGAGTTTTTTTTTCCCCGTTGTTTTTTTTTAATCCATGGAAAGTGTTTTTACAGTTGGTTTCATTGCTGATTTGAAACTATCTCCCTCACACGTCTCTGAAGACAGATGATATCTGAAAATAGAACAACTTTGAAGCTTTGCACAGGCTAAATGACTCTTAAGGCTGATAATACTGATATAAACATTTCCATGATGCATTCCTCCGCAACCTTTTTACTCGTTTGCAACATGGATGTCTGATAAGCGAGGAATGACGGGGGTGCCTCACTGTGAGGCTTTCATGTCTGCATGGCCACAGAGCCTCCACAGGGTTGCAGATTAGTAATCCTTCCTGTCAGATTTTGTACCTGTTAGTCAGCGTGGCCTGCACCAGTGTCGTCACGCTGAGGCTGAGCCTTTGTTCTTTCCAAGTCAGTATTTACAGTTTATTCACAAAGTAAATATAGATTTTTTTGGCTAGAAATGTGAAAAGTAAACTCAAATCAGACAAGAATAATCTAACGCTCTTTGTTGTGCGTTAGTTCAAAACTGCTCACAGATGGATAAGTAACAATGAACCTTCATTACAAAGATGAGTCAAGTATGAGTTTAGTCATTGCTTTTCTTTTTGGCTCGATGCTGGTGGGGGGGGGGGTGTATGTCAGAGGAGAGACCTTAGTAAGGAAGTCATCATGTTTCTGTGTTCACACTTCAGTTCTCCTGCTTTGGATTTGGATTACAGCGGTCAAATTCTGCATGCATGGAAAGAGCTTCGACTCGAGCGGTAGTTGCTCTTCGTATCTGCCATTAAGATTTTTCACGGAGGGGAGAAGCCACACAGCAGCAGTGGCTGCAGCATGAGAGGAAACCCTTACATTGGAGAGTCTTTGAGCTGGCCAGTCTGGGGGCTGCTTGAGTGCACTTGGACCGAATAACTCCCTCCCCCTACAGCCCTTTTGAACCTCCACCCCGCCGGCTGTGCAGCCTGCTAGGCTCACCAGCACCCTTACTGTCTTTCACAGGATTTTTTTTTTGCACGAGTCCTCACTTGAAGATCAGCAGCAATCAACACGAACGAGTGTGAGGGATGAGAGGGAATTTCACCAGGGGAAATGCCAGATGGCGTGTAATTAGAGCACAGGCACAGACACAAAAGAATTAGCAGGGTTAGATAAATGCCTGTGTTTGTGCGTTAAGTTTGTTCCTCTTTTTAATTCTCCTCTAAGGGAACGTCATTAGTATGCCTGAGGCCTACCTGAAATCAATAACAAAATCCCACGGCTCAGTGATGTTCCTGCCAGAGAGGCAAGAGCAAAAGAAACATCCTGTGCCGCTCTTTAACGAGCCACCATTGGTAGATGCCAACGACAAGCTGCCGCCGGTGCCAGTAATGAATACTTTATCATCATGCCAGATCGCCAGTGTGGTCTGATACTGCATGTTACATTAGTACCAGCACAATCAGACTGTGTGTGTCCTGACACTAGTGTCACCACAAAGATCTGCTGTACATGATGTGTTCCTGGCAAAAGAGGCTGGCTCTGTTTGTGAATCTGAAAATATGACACTGCAAATCTGTTTACAGTGTGGAGCAGCGCTTACTGTACCCACTGTACCAGTGATTGAGTGTAAACTCTTTATGTAACTGCACTGTGAAATGTGGACAGAATCCCAACAATGTCAGCAGTTATTCATGCTAGGCTTTTCATTGTGTGCCTTTTAAAACATTGTGTTACTGTTGACGGATCAGTTACATCTCTATACCAGTAAGTAGTTCAGTATACAAACTAGGTTTTAGACAGCAATAATAGGCCAGTTTAATAAATATTTGACAAACTCAAATGTTGTCTGCACAGGTATACATTTATTTTTCATTAGTTCATTAGTTTTTCATTAGGGCTTAAAAATCTGTACTTATATGTGAGCTGGGTAAATATAGGCACATCTTGATTTAATTCTTATTTAAAGCAAATCTTGTGACTCTGTCAACGTAAGTTCAGCGCTAAACCACTTGAGTAGTTTTTGAAAAGATTGCACATTTGTGTGTTTAGAGTTATTCATTCAGGTGCTCTTAAGATTTCAAGAGAAGGACAACTTCAGGCAGTTTGAGTGCAAGACATAAAGGAGTACTTGAGAGATTTAGCATTTCTTCTAATTTTTTGCTCGTTAGAACAATTGTGTTAGAAATAGGGCAGCACTAGCTGACATATTTTAATTATGTAATTCTGTCAGTGATTATTGTTTTCATTCATGCCTCCTGTATGCTTTCTTTCTTTAAATAAAAAACCTGCTGTCTGTAACTAGATGTCAATGTTTTTTCACAAAATAATTCATAAATTCTACAAAAACCTAAAGCTCTGAGCTTGTATGTTTGACAATAAGGTCCACAAGAGGGCACACAATGACACCAAGTCAGATTTAAATACTTGTATTAGTATACTTATTTTACCATAAACATTTATTATTATGGTCATTTAATGGAAATCATTTAGGTGCACACATTAGAGATTTGTTCTCAAGCATCAAACTGTGACCTGATGGGCTAACAGTGTATTTTTTCAAAAATGATTCAACTTTACACGTTGCATAAAGTCTTGCACTCAACTGTATCCAGATTTCACAGCTGCACCGTCTACAGTTCCAAATAAAACATTTAAGATTTTTTTAGACAGCTCAAAGTGCATCCAATCTTCTCTAGCCATGTTGAGTTGTGAACTTTATAATTACCAGTCACATAACTTTATATTTACCATTATAATTATCATGCGATGCTGAGATTTATTTCCTCAGTTCTGTCATTAGTTTATTCATGGTGAAAAACACATTTTTTTCAACGTGTGATGATGTATGTATTGTAGCAGCTTGAGACTGTAATGAAGCTATGAAAGGAAACAGACAACATTCACCAGAAAAGCGTCTTTTTGTTTGTTGTAGGAGTTGATGGTAAAACATTGAATTTCTGAATATATTAAAGAACATCACTTAAGTTCTGTGATCAGTGTTAAATGAGTTGCCAGTTTTAGAGAGCCAAATATAAATTTATATATATTTTTTCCATTTAAAAAAGAAGCGTAACATAGCTGTGTTAAGTTAGTTTTGTTCATTTTATCATTTATTTGATGCTCTTTTATTACATATGTAATAGATGTGTTCCTTGCCCTTACATAAAAAAATTGAATTTTCAAGCTTTTTATGGTGATCACATAATGTGTGTACTAACAGTTCTTTGTCCAAACACACGTACACCAAGAACATGGCATTCAGTCTTTATTATTGGTGCAAGATTCAAATTTTTTATAGTCATATCAAAAAAATGACTAAAGAATTCAGCTGAAGAGGGCTGACTTTGGATTATGACATGAATTGTGTCTTCTGCACTTTGAATACCAAATAGGTTTTACTTTGCATTATAGTGAGCTGAGCTTTCAATTTCCTGCATATCTCCTTATAATTCAGATGTGAGAGTTGCATAGTTCGGCTGTCGTCTCTTCGTGTTGGACTTTTTTTTTTTCCAAGCTGCTGCTCAAAGCAGCTTCCCATCTCTTAGCCTTTATGAAGCTGGCTTCATTATCTGCAGTCAGATTAAAAGTAAAGAAGAATTAAGGAGGAGTGGAGAGGAGTGTACATGAAGAACCTCAGCACTGGCCACCATTCTTTATCAGAGCTCTCCTTTTTTTTGCCTTAATTATCACTCTGCTTTTTTCTGCTTCAAAAAGCCTGACCAGAATCTGAGACGTATTTGCACAGCTCCCCGTTGCATCATTTTTGCACAGTCTTTTTGTCATTTCCCTGCTATTTTCTCTTTTCACTGTTCATCATTTAATATTGTTGAGACTAAACCTGTCAACCTCGGTCCTTGACCTGTTTTGTGTCGACTGTTTCTGTTACAAAGACATTCCAGGAAACTGCCTACCTTTGAGTGACTGCACTTCAAATAGTCTATGAGATGCTTCTATATTTAGGCTAGAGATGTGGGGATGCTCTCTAGATATGTCTTTTCCAGGGGCGAGAGGAAACTCAGACTTATCTATCAGCTGCAAGTTTTATCAAAAGAGAAGCAGGGAGGAATTTGATTAGAGTTAACCACCTTTGGCTTGCTATTGGATTAAGGCCTTCTTCTTATCTGTAAATGAGACTAATAGTTTTGCACTTTACCTTTTGATTTAGCGCTTTCCTTGAGGCACACACCCTTAATGCCACAGTAGAGGCAAGGAGGTGACTTTCTAGTGTCTTGTCATTTTTGTCTGACCCTGCCTTGATTCTGAATTCTACTTAGATTGTTTAAAACATTCTGAAAAATCTTTAATTGTGTTTTATTTTTCAGGTACAAAGGCTTCATTAAAGATTGTCCAAGTGGGCAGCTAGATGCTGTGGGCTTCCAAAAGATATACAAACAGTTCTTTCCTTTCGGAGATCCTACCAAGTTTGCTTCATTCGTCTTTAATGTATTCGATGAAAATAAGGTTCGTAATCAAATTTTTGTTGCTTCAAACTCACCACAAGCAGTTGAAAGTTCTGCTGAAAGGCACAGACTGAGCTAAAAGCTCATTTGTTCTCAGATCAGGCTACGATTTCTCCTTGTCCACGACTTGAGTTGAATAAAAAGCTGGAATGAATCAGCACAAATCTGATTTGTTTCAACTCACATTTGTTATTCCATGAATCTCCCTTCACTTTTTTTCCTGTTAAGATGTTGTAGTGTTTGATTTGTGAGCATTTTTTTTCACACTCACTTGTAATGAAAGCTGTTTGTCAACAGTTTTCAAAGAATAAAGTTCTCAGACAAAATGTAGCTTTGGTGTTAATACCATTACAGTATACATACATAAAATTAAAAGCAACAGTATTTCTATCAGTTATTTTGTTAATGAATTAGTCCTGAAATAGGATAGCGAGTACCGTTTTATATAACTGGATCAAAAATTGTAAAAAGAAGCAGAATAAATGAACATTATCAACAATGTCAATGCATATTTTAAAATCACCATTATCATCAGTAGAGGTAAAATTGTGTTTCTGTATAATGTTCTCTTTTTTACTTTGTGATTTTAGGAATTTATAAAGATGAAGAACACTGACGACAAAATCATCTCTGTAAATTCATCTTTTTTAACATCCTAGTATTGAGTATTTCAACATTGCAGATATCTCTGTTTGCTACTTTATTCATTTTTCATAAAGTCTAATATTATTTATAGCTTCTGTTCAATAAAATGACATTACAGTATTCAGCTAACTTTTCTTAAAAACAACTTTTTTCACATTGTGTAATATGTTTGTGGTTAATTTTATCATTTTATTTTAAATTATTTGTTGTTGTTGGGTGTTTTTTGTGTTTTTTTTTTTTATATTTTTTTGTGAAGAGACACATCCCGAATTTAAGGACTTGATGACAAAGCAGGTTTTAACAAGGCCAACCTATGATTGAATATTTGTGTGAGTTAATTCCCCCTTAGCTGCACGTGATTATTATGACCCCCCGCACGCAAAGTGTAAGCGGGAGTCAAATTGTTTTCGTACTGTTTATTTATTTATTTTTTTCAATGAATTTTGGTCAACCGTAGCACAAAAACGGCTGCATCAATCAACATGAAATTTAGCAGGACTATAGGTTTTACAATAGACCCCATATTTGAGGAGGGGGCTCCTTTCAAAATGGGGGTGTCTGGACATGCAAAAATGCTTGTAACTCAAAAACTGTTCAACATGGAAGCTTCAGATTTCTTTTGTTGTTTAGCTCTGATGAAGGGCTATCCATCAGGTCAACCCCCCACCCCCAAACAAAAAAAAAAAAAAAAAAAAAAAAAACCCCCACCCAAACCACTACAATTTTGG